ATCCTCAAATCCTACCCCAAAATCGCTCCTCATCCCGGAGACGCGGCGCATAAGAGCAGCAGCAGCAGCTCCGCTTCTAGTTCCAGCTCCTCTTCCTCAGTCAAGAGCTCGTCTTCCTCTCGCGGTCAGAAAGACTCGTCTGCCAGCGTGCAATTACCCAGCGCTCTTCCAGCATCCGTCGAGTCACATGCGACCGAACGCAGACCCGGATCCACAGACGGCTCCCTGTGGACGCTGGCGTTTACGGACAGCAAAATAAAGCGCTTCTGCAACACTTACAACATCCTCAGCAAGTCAGGTCTGCTGGACATCACGCTGCGCACGAAAGAGTTGATCCGGCAGAACCGGCGGACGCAGATGGAGCTGGATCGCCTGCGCGAGCACACCAGCCTGTTCATGGAAGCGCTGCAGACGGGAGACTCGGCCATCTGGAGCAAGCTGCAGACGAGCATGCAAGAGGAGGACAAAGGGAAAGACGGGACGAAGACAACCTGAAGTGAGACGAAAACACGATGCAACTTTCGTTGGCGTTTTATAAACATGCAACTTCTGACTATATCTTAAGGTCAAAACAATGCCAGAGTTGTGGAGCACTAAACCAGTCATAGCTCTGAAAGCTGAATAAATGAGCTTTCCATTGATGTATGGTTTGTTAGGATAGGACAATATTTGAAAATCTGGAATCTGAGGGTGCAAAAAAATCTAAATATTGAGAAAATCATCTTTAAAGTTGTCCAAATGAAGTTCTTAGCAATGCATATTACTAATCAAAAATTAAGTTTTGATATATTTACGGTAGGAAGTTTACAAAATATGTTCATGGAACATGATCTTTACTTAATATCCTAATGATTTTTGGCATAAAAGAGAAATTGATAATTTTGACCAATACAGTGTATTTTTGGTTATTGCTACAAATATACCTTTGCTGCTTAAGACTGCTTTTGTGCTCCAGGGTCACTTATGGATGTGCATTCACTCTTTAATAAGCTTCAGGCTTAACCTAGTTCAGTGCATAAGCTCTTTACACTCCTGCTGTCATTTTCACCTCTTATGATTCAAAGTTTTGGGTGAATGAATTTGGACTCTCAAACAGAAACATTAGTATTCGGCCTCGTTTATGAAACACAAGAGCAGATTTTGTGTCGGATCTAGCTGAAGACCTCCGGTAGATCGTATTTTTGGCCATCACAGAATGAGACGATATGCAAAAACACAGATCAAGTATGTGGCGCAGCCGTTTTGTGTCATTTCTCACAGCAATTATGAGTAATTATGAAAAATGGATCATTGCAGACTGTCAAAAGTAGGATCGGCTGCAGCCCTTCCCTATTCTCCAACATGACTGTGTTTTTATTTCAGTTATGTAGGATCTTGTGCTTAAAACAAAAACGTCAGAATGAATCTGTTTTTTTAGAGAAGCACAATGTCCAGCTCATATTTTACCCCAAAATCAAAAGAAACAGAATAAGAATTTAAATCTTCCGTAAAGAGAATGTTCTGTTTTAGGACCAATAAGGCAAGACACTACAGAAGAACAGGGTAAACGTTTAAAAGTACATTAAGACAATTGATTTGATTGAAGTTTTCTGAAATGTTGCTTAAATTTGCATTATCTAATTAAAGTGTATTATCTAATGAAATAATGTTACATTGTCATTCAGTGTAACACAATATTTATGTAAAAATTCAAACAAGTTTATTCTGACGTGTACATATTAAAATATATACAATTTAAAGCAGTATTACACTTATTGTTTTTATGCTTAAATCCTTTTCCGTCTTTGACCCATATATGTTTTCAGCTGTTTTTAGGAATAAAACTTATTATAAAACCAGGCGAATATTATATGAACAAACCCCTCAGTAAAAACCTTCAGAATATAGAGAGGAATAAAACTCTAAGTTTTGGTGTATGTAAGTGCTGATAAAGTGGAGAAACAAACTCACAAGCTTTAAAAAATAGGCATTTTCGCCATGTTTTTAGGAATAAAATGTTATATAAATTAGTGTGAATGTTATATGAACAAACCCCTCAGTAAAAACCTTCAGAATATAGAGAGGAATAAAACTCTAAGTTTTGGTGTATGTAAGTGCTGCTGAAGTGGAGGAAAAACGTTTTAAGATATATACTTTAATTGAAATCTATAGAAAAATAGTGCGATAAACACTTACATTTGTATTTTGAATGTTTTCTTTCCACTAGTCTGAAAAAAAGCCATGTTATCCAGCAAAACGAGTGGTTTGTACAGCTAAAAATAGCTGGAAGCAAGACCCATAACATTTACAAATGTCCGCTCCCATTTTTTACGTGAAGAATGAGGTGGTAGAAGCAAAATAGAGCTTTAAACTGACCAGGTTTTTGCTTGTAGTGTCTTGCCTTCAGATTTAATGCGTCATTTCACTGACACTGTGCCTCCAGCTTCATTAATAAAAAATACAGTTTTCTTTCTCTCGATTTTGATTTGAAATATGACTGGCTCATGTTCTGTGGGATCCATATCTGTATTTTTGAGAACTGATAAGGTGAATTGTTTTTATAGCCATATTGTTTTGTTTAATTAGATCAGCGGGTCGTTTTAAGTGTGATTCAGTTTCATCGTGAGGAGTGTTAATATGAGCGTAGTTCGTCTGTTAATATCACATGCACTTTTTTGTTTGTTGTTTTTTGTAGTTGGTTACTCAGACGCAGCAGTGCGCTGCATGAGACAGAAAAGGTAATATAGCCAAAACAACCGCATAGCCGCTCTTTAGTGTAGATGCATGTTGATTTTATCAGACGATGCCGTGATTATAAATGAGAGTGACTCCTGGTTAACATGTATTAAAAGGGGTCGTGTTTAGTCACTATTTAGTGTGGTATTTCTTGACAATATTCACTCATCATGACAGTAAAATAGGGCATTCTAAGTCAATACACTGCAGTATTTCCTCTCAATCAGTAGAAAATATGGTTAACACCCGGTCATGCATGAAAAAAAAATACCGTCATGTACCGTGAAACTGGTATAATTTTGAAAAATACCGTGATATAAATTTTTTGGTCATACCGCCCAGCACTAATAGGTCTGTTTTCTAGGGAAGCTTGTTTCCACAATGGAATAAAAAAATAATAATACAAAAGTTTTTTTTTTTTTAATTCTGAGAAAAAAGTCTGAAGTGCGAGTTGTTGACTTAGAAATCAGGCTTTTCTTAGAATTGCTATATGTTAAGTCAGAACTGTGAGATGAAAATGTAGAATTGCAATGTTAACTCGCAATTTAGAGTTTATAACCTGCAATAGAGATATAAACTCGCAGAAGAAAAGTCTGAATTGCGAGATAAAAACTCAAGAGTTGCACGATTTTAACTTGCAGTTCTAAGAAACGTATGAATTGTAATTGTGAGACATTAACTTGGAATTCTAAGAAAAGTCTGAAGTTAAGTTGCAATTTAGAGTTTATAACTCGCATTAACTCACTTTTCTATAAAGAAATGTCTATTGTGAGATGTTTATAATGTTTCAGTAAAGATAGAAATGTTTAAGAAGAAAATATCTCGCAAGTCCGAGTTTTACATATCACAGTGCAGACTTAATTTGCAATTCTGATATGAAAAGTCAAAAATTGTAAGATAAAAAGCTGCAATTACCTTTTTATTTCTTGAATCCATGGCTTCCATAGTTTTCATGTGTTGGTGTTTCCTAACACTCATTGCCTTGTGTTAATGGCAGTCTAAGCTGTTTTTGTAAAAACAAACAATTTAAAAAAAACACTTTTGTAAGCCAGCAGTTTTGATAAAGCTTTCCACGTGTTTTGCTGTCTGATCGTCTCTTCTGTTTACTGCTGATTTGATTCAGAGCACATTAAACATCATGAAGCAGCATTAAACAATGTTTGTGAATCATTTCAAAGCTGCTAAAGACGAGCCTCTTATTCTGAACTATAATCTACTAAAATCGTCTGATTCTGGCTGAAGTGTTTGTCTTTATGTTGCTCTTATTACTGATATTTGTTATTCTTGTCTTTTGTAAGTTAAATAATAATAATATGCCATTTTGTGTATGAAGATGTTAATTTCTTTGTATTTTTCTTTGCTGTTCATTAAATAATCCTCACATTTACGGTTGTGAGTACGGACGGATAGACGCTCAATCCTGTTCATCGGTGTGCTTTTACATTAATCCAGCATTATATTGACTTACAATCATCAGTAATACATACTGGATATGAATAAACATTTCTCAGCTGTACAAAACCAAAGCTGTGCCTAAATGTTCACATTGTTCATTTACGGATTCTTTGTTTTTTTTACATTGTATTTTTAATTTTTGAGCTTTTTTTTTTTATTTCCCACTCTTTTCATTTTTAAGACTGAATAATACACTGTCCAATGTTTTCATTTATGTCATAAAGCTATTAAAATAATTTTAATTGTCAAATGTGTCCCTGAATCTCCTCGGCACCATTCTGTGTCAGTGTCAACACAAATAAAATAAATATATATGTGAACATAATACAAATATAAATCAAATCAAGTGCTTGCTTTTAAAACTAAAAACATCCTACTAAATAAAATGCACATTAAATATTTAAAAAAGGCAAGGAAACATTTCTGATTTTCATTTAATTTTAACTTGATGTTCTAAAATAAACTAAAATTGGGGGGGGATAAAAATTGTATAAGCATATTTAAAAAATAATTTAGTTAATTTTTTATTTAAAAAATTTAAAAAACGCATCTAAATGAATACAAAAATTAAAATAAAAATTGAAAATAAAACAAAAAACGTAATATTAAAATTAATTTGGTAACATCTTACTGTAAATTAAAAAAGAATATTTAAGAAAAATATTATTGTAATATAATTGTGTTTTTATGTATGTTTTCAGTGTGATTATATTGTTTTCTGGTTCACAAAAAAAAAAGTACAAAATAGTTGTCCTTCAAAAAGAATCGGTTCAAAAGAATCAGAGAATCAGGCATCGTGAGTGAAGAAAGCCGCCGCTTATGATTCGCGTTCTTTTGAACCGATTCTTTTAACGATTCGCTCAACGTTTTACAAAGCGCATCGCTCAATGAAAACCAGGCTAAAAATTACCATAACACTAATCAACACCGAGAGTCTTTTCTTCACCTAGAAGTACATTCCTCCTCGCGCGACCCGGAAGTGCTCTCCATCTGTCTTTGTGTTTGTGTTTAGCTCCGCGGCTCTCTGTCAAACACCAGCGGCTCCAGAACACCGCGATGAAGGTAAACAGAGCTGATAAAGATGAGTGTGTGATATAAACATCATCTTCCAGACGTGTCTGAGGTGTTTGAGTGTATGAGCGCGAGCAGAACGAGGGAGATTTGAGCTCCAGCTAACGGTGGCTAATGCTAAGCTCATTAATGTCAAAGGCTTCATTAGTAATAATATCAGACCTCTCGTTGATAAATAGCATGAGTTGAGGTTTATTAGTTTGTCAGAGCCTTGTGAACGATTTAAAAGCTTGTTAACTTCATTTCTGAACGGTTCATTAATATTCACGAGTTTATCGCTTTATATTCATTATTCATTAACATGTGATTTTGTTAATATGTAACTTTGACTGGTTTTATTCAGCACACAGATCTTTTTCGTGTTATTTTACTGTCACTGCGTGTTTTGAGGGATGTGCTCATTAGTATGTTAATGTATTCGTGACGTCATGACGGCGCGTCTCTGACGTGTGAGAGCTGATGATGGACAGAAGCTTCTCTCTCTGACCTGGTCAGACACTGCGTCTATTAATAATCAGTAATATATGGCTGATGTTATTCATATTCATGTATTCTCTCTGGTGTGGACAGGTTACATTCGGCTGAATCCATGCTTTCTGATGAACTTGACTCCAAACCTGAGGTATTAATGATCCACTACTGTTTTAATGACTTATTCTGATTTGTTATATTAGGGCTGCACGGTTTAGGGAAAAATTTAATGCCATTTTTCCTGATAAAACTTGTAATTGTAATTTAATTATTATTATAATTTTTTTTAAATTCTAGGTTGTCTGTGTTCACATATTGGCTAAAATTTTGTTTATATATAAATATGCATATAAAATACTACTACTATTATTATTATTATTATTACTAAAATCGTTTTTTTTTGTAGAGGACATTAAAAAACAACTGAGGTTGACCAGAGTGCTTTACAGTGAATAAAAGAATAACAATCAATTAAAAAGGAATATTTTTATTTTGCAACAATAATAATAATAATTATTATTACTTAATAAAAATATATAAATGAGTTTTGTTTTTAATTGTACTAGTAATTAACAAGGAAAAATGCTTCTGTTATTTTGCATATATCTAATTTTTTACATTTTTATTTTCTTTTACATGAACAAAACCTGATGCTCATGTCGGGGTTATTATAGTTAACTAATACTGTTTTTAAAAAATTGGTAATAAATAAAATAAGCTTTAAACGAAATAAATATAATATTAAAACAAAATAAACTGCAAAAAAAAAACTTTTAAATTGACCTAAATTTTGTAATATTTTACTATAAATAAAAAAAAAAGAGTATTTAAAATATAGTAACAATAATTTTGTTTTACAGTACAACTGTAAACTTAATCTTAATTTCATCATTTTCAAGCATTAGACCATCAAACTCTCTTTTGTTGGTAATCGTGCAGCCCTGATTTATATGCAGTATTGTGTTTTGACACTATAATAATCATCATACAACAAGATGTAATATGCATTATGAATATTTCAATAATCATCATCAGAACTTGGCTCAGGTTTAACCGTGGTACTCATTTCTTACTGGAGGATGCATGACTGATATAAGTTGAACAGTGTGTTATTTTATTGTAGTGTGGTTGTTGGGTGCTGTTCCAGATGGGAATGAATATTGGTAAACCTATCTCTGAATGCTGGTTTCTCATGGTTTTATCAATGAATGCTGTGTGCCTGTGTCTGTGCCTGTGTCTGTGCCTGTGTCTGTGTCTGTGTCTGTGTGTGTGTGTGTGTGTGTGTCTGTCTGTCTGTCTGTCTGTCTGTCTGTCTGTCTGTCTGTCTGTCTGTCTGTCTGTCTGTCTGTCTGTCTGTCTGTCTGTCTGTCTGTCTGTCTGTCTGTCTGTCTGTCTGTCTGTCTGTCTGTGTGTGTGTGTGTGTGTGTGTGTCTGTGTCTGTCTGTGTCTGTGTCTGTGTCTGTGCCTGTGTGTCTGTGCGCGTGTGTGTGTGTGTGCCTGTGTGTGTGTGTCTGTGCCTGTGTCTGTGTCTGTGCGCGTGTGTGTCTGTGTGTCTGTGCCTGTGTGTGTGTGTGTGCCTGTGTGTCTGTGTCTGTGTCTGTGTCTGTGTCTGTGCCTGTGTGTCTGTGTCTGTGTGTGTGCGTGTGTGTGTGTCTGTGTGTGTGTCTGTGTCTGTGTCTGTGCCTGTGTGTCTGTGTCTGTGTCTGTGCCTGTGTGTCTGTGTCTGTGTCTGTGCCTGTGTGTCTGTGTCTGTGTCTGTGCCTGTGTGTCTATGTCTGTGTCTGTGTGTGTGCGTGTGTGTGTGTCAGCTGTTGGTTGAGTTTGTTCAGAACGCGTCTATCCCGCTGGGCCGGAGTCTGGAGGAAGCGGACACTAAAGCCTCACAGTGCGGCCCGCTGGATCTGCCAGGTACAAACACACCTGTGTCAACGGGAGAAACCCTTCGGAAAACTAGCTCAAAACATCAGCTTTTATATTTTCACAAACATTTCAATTTAATGACTGTGCTGTCACATGAGTTATTTATTTATTTATTGCATTTACATCTGAGTAATTTACAAATGCATAAGCCTTTAAATTTTCATCAGATTTTTTAACTAATGACTGTGTGGTCAGTTAAGTTATAATAGTTTATATATTTATTTATTTATTTTTATTTGATTTTATTTGATTATTTTACTCTTACATCTATCCTAACATCTGAGTAATTTACAAATGCATAAGCTTTTATATCTTAATCAAAAGGATTTATTAACTGTTTTGTCAGTTATGTTTTTATACTTTTATTTTATATATATATTTTACTCTTTGTACATTTGTCTTTATATTTTCAGAAGTACTGCACACATCTGAATCAATTAAAATACAAATATATTTTTAAGACATTATTTTGTTTTATTTTTTTATTATTATATATGCTTAGAACAAAAAACAGCCATGTCATAAATGTATTTATATTTTAAATTAAAATATATTTTTATTTATTTATGAATTTTTTTGAGTTTTTCTAAAAAACAGAACTGCTCATTTTGTAAAGAACTACTTTACAATATTTTTTTTTCAAGAATTTTAGTCTTTTGCTTGGAATTATTTTAAACATTTTTCACGTTTGAAGATTAATTCAGTTCATTCTTTAGATGAGAACATGATCATCTTAGAAGAGCTGTTTTGTTTGTCTGCATGAGTTGCATTTTATTGTAGTTTTGAACGTGTAATCGACTCATTTTTGTGATTCTTGCTCTGCTTTGGTGTTTTTCAGAGAGTCATGCCGCCTCCCCGTCGCTGTCAGACTTCGGCCCTGAGCGAAGCCCATTGGTGGTTCAGCTGCAGACTCCTCCCCCTCCAGCACAAACCCCGCCCCCCATCCTGCAGGACCTCCAGAACCACGACAGCTCGTCTTATGTCCTGCTCAATCTGGCCAAAGGTGCGACGCTTATAAGCTCACATATCAGAGTCCATCATACAGCACTAAATCACAGACCACTAGTGAAACTGCTGCGGTTTTTCATTTCATTTTCATGACTTATGTCACCATATTTGGGTGAAAAATTATCTTGTTTGTGTCTCTTCTGCTTTACTGGAGCTTCATAAACTAAACCTGATGCTCATGTCAGGGTTATTATAGTTAATTAAAACTAAAACCATTAAAAAATGTTTCTAAATAAAATAAATGTTGACCAAAATAAAAAAATTAAGCTTTTAATTAAAACATATTAAAAATAATAAATTTGTCATTGTCATTTTATTTGTTTTATAAATTTTACCTTTTGTACATTTGCCTTTATATTTTCATAAGTACATGTGAGTGTGCACATCTGAATCAGTCACAAATGGAAATTTAAATAACTGTTAAAAAATAAATAATAAAATAAAAAATACTGAAAAAATATTTATTTTATTTATTTTTTTAAATATTAACATTTAAAAAAAATATCTGTTAAAAAATAAATATTAAAATAATAAAATAAAAAATACTAACAAAATATTTATTTTATTTATTTTTTTAAATATTAACATAAAAAAAATAAGTGTTAAAAAATAAATATTAAAATAATACAATAAAAAATACTGAAAAAAGCTGCTGAATTTGTAAAGAACTGCTTTGTAAAAGTACTTTTTCATTGTTATTTTTTTCAAAGAATTTCTGCTTGTCGTCACTTTTTAAAGTGATTTTCCAGCAAAAATAACTATATTATGATGTATACTGTTACAGTGATATGAAATAATAGGATGTGGTAATGCAGTGATTTATTTTTATTTGAGATTTTTGTTGTTAGTTAATTTTACACATTTACTGTTTGCTGTAACATAAATCATTTACAAATGCATCATGAAAATGCATATCAGATTTTAAAGACTAAATGCCCCAAACGTCTGACTGTGTTTCAGAGAAGTAACTAGTTACACATAACAGAATCACGTAATTTAATTACAAAATAATTTATTCATCGCACAGACCAGTTTTTTCGTAGCACGTGCGACATATATGTCGCACTGTACAGCCCTGAAATGTAATTGTAATCAGTTACAGTTACTGAGAAAAATAGTGTAATTAAATTACAGTTACTTATGAAAATGTTAGCGATTACAAAGAGGGTTACGTCTAAATATTTATGTTTATGCTTTATTTTTTAAGATGAACAGTTTTTTCCAAGCCATTGTTAGATGCCAGTGTTTCTGTCGTAACTGCAAAGATTTGATTTCAGAAACAGTATCATAGCTATTAAACTATATCTTGTGTTAGTTTTAAATCTGTATTTAACCTCAGAACGATCTGCTAAAGAACGAAAGAGCTGCTAAAGACTGATATTGTGGTGGCTGTGCTTTAAAATTAAACTATTATCATCTTAATTCAAGTGAAGAAGGATTTAAATGTCTGACAGTAATCAGTGTTGAGCAAACCCTGTTTGAAAATGATTCTCTTACTCAGTATTTCTGTCTTGTTTTTTAGTATAAATATCTAAAAGTTCTTGAATCAAATGAATTTACTGTACAAGTAAAATGACTTAAGATATTAAGTCTTGTTTTCTGTAAAATAAAAAATATCCTAATTTTGTTAGTTTTTCCTTAAAGGAGACATATTATGCCCGTTTTTACAATATGTAATATAAGTCTCTGGTGTCCCCAGAATGTACGGCGCCGTGGGTGTAAACTTACAGATTAAGGGGCGGTAATATTATAATGAGATCCCTTTGCCACGTCACCAAGGGAGCGAAATCAGACGCACTGGTTTTCTCAGACGCTTGCAGAAAAAAACTTATCAAAACAAAGTTGCTGAGTTAATCTTTTTCACGTTTCCTTGGTTGGTAGATGCACCGGGGACCTGATTATAGCACTTACAACCTGGAAAAGTCAGATTTTCATGATATGTCACCTTTAAAACAAACAAAAATATCTGCCAGTGGGGCAAGAAAAATAATCTTGTTTAGCTTTGAATTAAGATTATTTTTCTTACCCCATTGGCAGATGGGGTAAAACTTGTTTGTTTTAAGCAAAACAAATTGTTTTTATTTTTTTATTTTATTTTAGAAAACAAGACTAAATATCTTAAATCATTTTACTTGTACAGTAAATGCATCTTGATTCAAGAACTTTTAGATATTTATACTAGAAAACAAGACAGAAATACTAAGTAAAAGAATAATTTTTTTGCAGTGTGGTTACATTACTTCAATAAAGTAATTGAAATAGTTGTTCCACTTTAGTCCGGGTAACTCGTAGCAGCTTCCCAGCAGTGTTCGGAGCTTGCAGTGACGCAGTGGTTGTGTTGTAGGGCTGTCGGCCGAGCCGCTGGTGTTTGTTCAGGACGATGTGGACGAGGCGCAGGAGGAGATTTCGTCCGGAGACTGCGGTGCGCCGTGGTACCTGCGGGTCCAGGAGCTGGCTCACGACAGTCTGATCGCCGCCACACGCGCGCAGCTGGCCAGAGACGCACGCCACAGCCCTGAGCACATCCACAGCGGTCAGCCCGAGTCCGAGCAGAAGCAGGAGCCCAGAGCCGTGTCACAGAAGAGCCACCGCTGTCCCTATGAGAGCTGCCAGCGGACCTTCAGCTACCCAGCACACCTCAGATACCATCTGAAGACACACCGGTGACCACAGAGCACACACACGACAAGGCCACTCTAACATTACACACCTCTTTACTCACACTTTGGATCAGCTTAATGCATCGCCGATGAATAACAGTGTTCATTTCTTTAAAAAAAAACGAAACTGTTTGAATGGTAGTGTTGGGGAAAGTTACTTTTAAAAGTAATGCATTACAATGTTGCGTTACTCCCTAATAAAGTAACTAATTATGTTAGTTACTTTTCATGGAAAGTAATGCGTTACGTTACTTTTGAGTTACTTTTTAAATCTGGGCGGGGCTTGTTTGTTTGTTTTTAATATAAAAAGTTATTCTTTTACAAATTTAAAGCCCTTTCACAACAGAAGTGAAGTGAATGCGCCTCAGGCTCACAACGGAGAGAAACCCTTCATCTGCAACGAGAAGAACGCAAGCAAGAAGTTCACCACCGCCGGCAACCTGAAGAACCACAGACGCACACACACGGGTACAAACACACACACACACCGATACACAAATCTACACACGTGAAGAGACATATTGTACAGATACATATATACACACACACACATACATATATTAGGGGTGTAATGTTACACAAACATGATGGTATGTACCTCGGTTTTGACATCACGGTTCGGTATGGTTTCAGTACAGCATTAGGAAAAAATACTAAACATAAATTGTTTCTTTTTTTAATTAAACAATAGTTTACTGAACAAATTGCTCTTTCTTTAAATAAATTCAATTATAATTAGGGTTGGGTACCGAAACCCGGTACCAATATGGCACCGGTACCTATGTAACCGATATGTACTAGATCATTTCACATGCCTCATTTCGGTGCCATGCCTGAGCGATTGATTTAAGTATCGGGTTAGGCACCGGAACCGTTTTAAAAGTATCGATTTGGCACCGGTATCGAAAAAAACCCAAATGATACCCAACCCTAATTATAATTAATTTCCTCAGGGATAAAAATCTACCTCAGCTTCTGCTCTAAACTATAGGGAGCTCTTTATATTACTATAAGATTACAATTAACAACAGAGCCCAAACTTAAATTTAATTACTATTTATTTTTAACTATAATAATCAACACTCAACTTAAAAAGAATTGTATGCAAACATGTAAATAATTTTTTAATTAACTTCTAAATTATTCAATTTCTATTTGTTGTTGAAATATAATAATTTACAGTCATAACTTTTCATAAAATAGTTATTTAAGCATACACATTAAATAATTAAGACATCACTAACAGTTAAAGTAAATATGAAGTACAGTCTAATATTTGGCTAAATGCTCTTCTCTAGACTTCATTTCTGGAGCAAATAACGAGCTGTAGACACTGATGAAATGAAACGCTGCGTGACGTTTTGTTCACGAGCTGCTTTCGTTCACGAGCTGCTTTTATGACGTTTCGTTCCCGAGCTGTTTTAATGACGTTTCGTTCCCGAGCTGCTTTAATGACGTTTCGTTCACGAGCTGCTTTAATGACGTTTCGTTCCCGAGCTGATTTAATGACGTTTCGTTCCCGAGCTGTTTTAATGACGTTTCGTTCACGAGCTGATTTAATGACGTTTCGTTCCCGAGCTGCTTTAATGACGTTTCGTTCACAAGCTGTTTTAATGACGGTTTCGTTCACAAGCTGATTTAATGACGTTTTCTCACGGTTGAGACACTGATTGAGGGATTACGTGAGATGTTCATTCATGTTTATTTCACGTTAAAACTAGTAATAAAGAGGAAGAGATGATCGCGCTGCTGTAGAACTGAGGTGTTTATACAGAGATCTGTCGCGCCTCATCAGAGAGCGCCAAAACTGCATTTATTGTCTGAATTTCCTGAAAAAATGGAACGATTAGTTTGGTACACATGCGTCCAGAACCGAAAGACCCCTACTGAACATTTTCCCTATAAATACGTGTACCGTTACACCCCTAATATATATATAGTTTATTTCTCCGTTAAATACTCAGTTTTTTTAAAATTTTCAAAAATCATGTTTTTATTGTCTTAGTTAGCTGTATTTTTTTTTTTTTTTTTTACCTAATCAAAATAACCCAATTGCAGTTTGACTGAGATTTAATTGTAATACACAATGAAAAAAAACATGCTTTTTGAAAATTGTTAAAAACAGTTATCTGTTTTTGCAAATGAATTCTTCATACTCTTCACCACTTCGATTCGATTCGATTCAATATAGATTATTTTGGATATATATCAGGTATAGTATGCCAAATTTTCTCAAGAAAAAAAAATAAATCTCAACTAATGCTGTAAAATATACACGAGAGTCAGTTGGTACTACATTACTATAATACTGAAGGTTAAAAGTGACTGATTTGTTAAAATTACACTTAATGAAGTTTTAAAATAATGAAGTTACAATTACATAATATTTCTACTTCAATTAGTTTTTTATATATATAAACATAATGGTGGCTGTCATAAAAACTTGATGGATTTATTCAAACATAAATTAAACATTGAAGAACAGTAACATTTATAATTAATATTTTATATGATGCATATATTTAGCAAAATGCCCCTCTCTACAGTTTCTGAGGTAAGGTAAATGTGACGTGACATTGTTTACAAGCCGTTATATTGGCGTCTCTGCGCGGCTGAAACACTGATTGAGAGATTACATGAGACAGGGTAAGGATTGTAAAGTTGTACTCTTTCTTTTACCTTACCTTCAGATGTTTAGTCATGTTTATTTTGTGCTATAACTAGTAATAAAGCGGAGGAGATGATCAGTTCACTGAGGCACTACAGTGATCTGTCACTCCACATTAAACAGCGCCAAAACGGCATTTACTGTTTGAATACTGCAATACAACGGACAGAATTTGAAATCGGAGACTTTGTTTCATATTAAAAGCACCAAAGCACAATGCTTATTGCAATTATATTGGATGGGAGGTGCGCTTCAATGCTCCGTCCATTAACTGAAAATAGGCTAGACTAATTCGATTCTTGAGATTTAAGAATCGATATCGTTTCGTAAAAATGAGAATCGATTAATATCGAAATATTGATATTTTTTACCCATAATAGTACGATTTTTTCAAACGATTCTTTTTGCCAATAATGAGTTCTAAGTACTGATTCATATGATTTAAATTCTGTTTTTCAGGTGAAAAGCCCTTCCTGTGTGATGCTGACGGCTGCGGCCGATCTTTCGCAGAATATTCCAGTCTGCGCAAACACATGCTCGTACACTCGGGTGAGGTCACGTGACTCGTGCTTATCTGAATTACTGACTGTATAATGCCTCATCTCTGATGTGTATCGCATCCTCTCTATACACTGGCTTTTTATGAATTGATACACACAATAATGTGCTTGTGATCTGTTTACTGTTTGATGTTACAGTTGATAAATGTATGTGACCGTGTTGTGGTGTGGTGTGCTGGTGCTCAGGTGAGAAGCCGCATGTGTGCTCCATCTGCGGGAAGACGTTCTCTCAGAGCGGCAGCAGAAACGTCCACATGAAGAAGAGACACAGCGATGAGACGCAGTTGCCTGACAGCAGAGACACAGGTAACACATTAATAACTGCTGCAATGACAGCGACTCATTCTCTTAGAGTGTCACTTTCATCTTAGTTCATTAGTTCAGTTTAGCTTGTAACTTTTTAGTAATTGTGTTGTGTGCTTCTGTCATTTCTATTAGCTTTTTTTCAATAATTAAAAATTTGTGTGTATATATATATTAGTGCTGTCAAACGATTAATTGCATGCAAAATAGGTTTTTGTTTACATGTGTGTGTACTGTGTATATTTATTATGTATATATAAACACACACATGCATGTATATATTTAAGAAATTGTTATGTTTATATGTTAAATATATTTATATATAAAATATAAGAATATAAATATATAAAGGTATATACACATGTAAATATTTTCAAAATATATTATTTATATATACATAATAAATATACACAGTAAACAAACATATATGTGAACAAAAACTTTTATTTTGGATGTGATTAATTGTTTGACAGCACTAATAAATACATATACAAGAACCTATTCATTGCCATTAATGTGAAATTGCTGAACTTACACAAGAACCTGATAAAACTTCTCATTTTGGGAAAAAAATTCAAACGGCACTTAAGAGATTTTTGCAACTCTTCATATATATATATTTAGCTTTAATCTTTCAGTTTTTGTAATTTTGTGCACTTTTGTCATTAGTTTTTGTTTATTAAAAAATTCAATGTGGCTTTATTTCAGTTTTGGTGTTTGTATTTGCATGTGCTTTTGTCATTTATATGTTATAAAAAATTTAGCTTTATTTTTATTGCAATTTTAGTTTTAGTAATGTTGTTGTGTGCTTTTGTCATTTCTGTTAGCTTTTATTTAAGAAATGTGTAGCTTAAATCTATATCTATTTCAGTTTGTCATTTTAAGTGCTTTTGCCATTTCTTTTAGTTTATTACAAATATTCAGAGTAGCTTTGTTTTAGTTGTCATTTTAGTACTTAGTGCTTTAGTACTGATGTTTGAGCGAAAAAGTTTTTTTTTTTTTTTGATGAAAGAAATTTTTATCAGCAAAGTGATTTTTGACAAACCAAAAAATTTTTGACTAACAAAAAAAATTAGATTTTTGATGTGAAAAAAAAAATTTTTGACATGAGAAAGTGATTTTTTTTAGTACTTAAAAATGACTGCATTTCATTTAGTTGCCTAGGCAGCATTTTTTAGTAGTTTTTTTAGTAATAGCAGTTTCCTGTAATTTTTTATTTTTTTTTTTTACGTTTTTTTTTGTCATTGAATTATAGGATAGTTTTCATTTGGTGACAATATAAACCATCAATCAGAAGAGGTTTGTTAGTACATATATAGCATTTCCAGAAATAACAAGCTTCAAAATTCCATGATATTTAAATAAATGTTGTAACCATCCAAATGTTTTCTTATTAATAGAAATGGTTATTTTGCATTTTCAGTTGGATTGTGTGTAAAGTCAGTGTTTGACGTTAATCAAACGAGTCGCTGTAATTGTTTTGGTTCATCACTCTGAAACAGAAGAGGACACGGCATTGTTTGTAGTATGATGTATAGGGTGTTTTACTGTGGGCGTGTCTGTGTGTGATTGACAGCTGAAGCGCTCACTCACAGCAGTCTGTTGGAGGCGGATGGCGGCGGTGATTCGATGGTCAGCGTCAATCTGCATCACGCTATCTTACCGACGCAAGGTACGACCGCATGCTCTCTCTGACGCTCTGTCACATGACCCACGGCAGTGACATCATCACGTGTGTTCTGTGTGCTCAGGTGCGGCGGATGCCGTCGTGGTTCTGACTCCGCCCCATGACCTGGTCACCATGACAACGGGCCACGCCTACAGCGATGACATGGTCGCTCTGCTCTAACGCTGCTTTTGTAAATAAACTCTTTTAGGAAACACGCGCTTCTCGAGTGCATCATTTCATCATCAGAAACACTTCATATTCCAGACACCAGAAACACAAACACACCTTCCAATGAGATATTTGTTATTATTTGCAATCTGAAAATAAACATCAACAACAAAATAACGCATAACAGTGACATGCCAGTAAACAAATAATGTTTATTATACCACACGTAGCCTGTGAAGAGAGTCGTGTCCCTTCATGAGTCATCCGGCGTACAAATGTGAGCTTTTCCTACAGAATCCCTGAACCATAACGAGAAACAACTAATTCAGTGTGAGCAAAAAAAAAAAGTGCTTTTTGACAAGCAAATAAGTGATTTTGACGAGCAAAAAAAAGTGATTTTGACGAGTGAAAAGTGATTTAGATGAGCAAAAAAAGTGATTTTGACGAGCGAAAAGTGATTTTGACGGGTGAAAAGTGATTTTGACCAGTGAAAAGTGATTTTGACGAGCAAAAAGTGATTTTGACGAGTAAAAAGTGATTTTGATGAGCAAAAAAAAGTGATTTTGACGAGCAAACAAGTGATTTTGATGAGCAAAAAGTGATTTTGACGAGCAAAAAAAAAGTGATTTTGACGAGCAAAAAGTGATTTTGATGAGCAAAAAGTGATTTTGATGAGTAAAAAGTGATTTTGTTTGACGAGCAAAAAAAAAGTGATTTTGACGAGCAAAAAGTGATTTTGATGAGCAAAAAAAAAGTGATTTTGACGAGTAAAAAGTGATTTTGATGAGCAAAAAAAAGTGATTTTGACGAGTAAAAAGTGATTTTGATGAGCAAAAAAAAGTGATTTTGACGAGCGAAAAAAGATTTTTGGATGAGAGAAGGTGTTTTCCTGGTGCAGTGATGCACAGACGGACGTAACATTCAGTGCGTTTCTGTAAATAGTCTGGAGTTGGTGCGGAAAGCTTCTTCATTGCATTTGCTGTTATCCAGGATTCTGTCTGGAATATGGCTGTACTTAAATCTGCTTCAAGACAGAAAAAGTTCGGAAAGTTAACAGAGACAAATGTACATGTTGTTAAAAATTTTAATTGGGGGAAAAACGAAAAGCTCAGACGTATTAAAGACATGCTGTAAACTGTAACACATTCGCTCAGTAATGTAAACAAACACAGCACATTGTCGTCTGCAGATCTGCGCTCATCTCAGGAAGCTCCAAACACGCATCAGTTCCACATGAAGCGTTTCTTTCTCTGATGAAGCTCTTTAATGGATCCTGAACTTCTGGGAGTGGTAGATAGCAGCTCCCAAAGCCCAGCTGGTCTCCACGTTCCTCACCTTCTTGGTCAGCTGGAAACACAAGCAGCAGGGTTAACTAGTTAACACTAGTTACAGCAGGTTAAAGACAGAGAAACCCAGACGTACCTGCAGGACGGTGCTTTCCTTAAAGCCGAAGCCGTCTTTGAGCAGACAGACGATGTATGTGAGATCCATGCAGAGGAAGGGATTGAGCCGAGTGCGTTCAGACGGACGGTTACACACTACAACACACACACACACACACACACACAAGAGCTCATGTTGGGTTTGTGTGATCATCACATCACATACAAGCATGGGAGATGAGAAGATGAAGGTGAAGATGAGTCTCACCCTCTTTTGCTCTTTTCTTGAAGTCTCGGATCTTCACGGCTCCTCCTCTGCTCTCATCTGCAGCGTTTAAGAGATTCATTCTCAACTACTGCTTAAAGTAAGAGTTCAGTCACAAACTAACATGCTTTCTGCTTCAGGGCTTCTGCAGTTTAACAAGACTTTTTAAGACCAAAAATGTAAGGAATAAATTGAAGGGAAAACACAACGAAACAACCTTTACTGTAAAAAGGTGCAATATTTTTGTCTTGTTTTTCAGTGCCAATGTCTTAAAATTCTTCAATCAGGAGATACAAAGTCTTGTTTTCTGAGAAACTGATCGAAATGAAGTGAGTTTACGATTAAAACAAGAACAAATATCTGCTAGTGGAGTCAGAAAAATTTACTTAATTAAAAAGAAAAGAAAATCAATTCCCCATTGCCATATTTGTGTGTTTTATCTCCTGGTAGTCAAAATTGACCAACTGTTTTTTATTTCAACGAAAAGAATGTACTGTATTTTAATTTGATAAGATTTTTTAAATTAACATTTTATGGTACTAAATTATATTTATGGAATACCTATGATCTATTTATGACCTGTTAACCACTTTTAAGCATTGACCTGAAAATTTAATTTCCAACTTAAACGGTCATAAATCCTGAATGTTTTGGAGACTTAAGTTTGGTCTCTTTTTAAAGAAGACACTTTAGAAGGAGATTATTGCTGAAGTGAAAAAAGTGTGGGGTGGGGCAATTATAGAAGATGTTTATTGTTATGTCAAATTAAAAAAAGTACTATTTTAATTTATTTGAAATTTTCCCAAAAAAAATGTATTCTAAATCTGCATGAAAATCAAGTTGTGTTCCAAATTTGAGGTTGATATCACAAAAAGAAACAGCTTTCAGTCAGGTTTTGTTTGGGTCCACTTGTGGTCATTTTCCACCATCAACAATACAAGTGTGACCATTAAACCTTTTTGAATCGTGTCCATGATTTATTTATTTATTTGTTTACATGACAAGTGGCAAAAAATTTCACCAAGTCTCGTACTATTCAGGTGAAGTCAAAAATGTGAGGGAAAAAAAATGTTTACGTCAAGAGCACCAGAAGGTTGAGTATAAACTCACTTTATTTTGATCAATTTCTCAGGAAAAAATACTTCTTATGTTCATTCTGCATCTGCAGTAAATGTCTTGATTTAAGGATGTTTAGATATTTGTGCTGGAAAACAAGACAGAAACACTGAGGAAGAGATTCACTTTCGCAGTGTGTGCAACATTGAATGGCGTGTTTCACGCCAGTGTCTCACCGATGAGTCCGGCCTCCGCGGCGTGATCGAAGTAATACGAGAAGGCGTAGAAGGTGCTGCTGTCCTTCAGCTCGTGAGGCTGTTTAATGATGCCCTTCAGCACCTTCAGCAGCTCCTGAGAACACGCTTTAAAGCCCGTCACACCTGAGCATCAGACACAGCAAACACTGACGCCTCAGACACCACAATCACTACTTCACATCTCAATTCACATAGAATTTGCAACAAATAAACATTAATTCAAGACTTCTAATTCAGAAGATTTTTTGCATTATTTTAATGACAAACACATTTTCTTCCCAGATTAAAATCATTTTCTTTAAAGAATTAAAACTAAAACAAAAATTACTTAAGTATTATTTACTTACTATTAAAGATTTTTTTAATATTGTGAATTAGTTTTCATTTTTATATTTATTTGCAGTTTTAGTAATTTTGTTATACGCTTTTGTCGTTTTCTTATTTAGTTTTTAGTATTTCTGTTTATTTTTATTTCATTTACTTGCCAAGGCAACATTTACAATGATCATGTAATATGTTTTTATAAATGAAATAAATAGAAATACAATTTATATGCTTTACTACTTTTATATTTTATTTTATAGAAATCATTTCTGAAATAAAATTTCATTTAAATTTAAATTACATTTTTTATTCATTTTTATTTTGTTTTTAGCATTTCTATTTTTATTTCATTTACTTGCTAATTCATAGTTTTTCATGTAATATTTTTTATAAATAAAATAGAAATACAATTTATATATTTTACTACTATTTTACTATTATTTATAATATTTAAATTATTTAATTATTTTAATTATTTATAAAAATAAATGATTATAAATATAAAATAAAATATAAATATAACAAATAAAACCTGACAAATCTAAATTATAAACTGACAATATTAGTAAATGCTACAATAGTACACAAATAATACAAGTAACACTATTTCCAACTTGTAAAACCCCACTGTATCACTGAGATGCATGCAGATGTTTTGTCAGTAATTCTCATGATTCTCATTAGTTTCTTTTTACTGTAGTACAGTGATTCTTTTACTCTATTAGTGAAAAATATCTGTAACATATTAATTCAGTCTAATACCAATATGATGAATAAATACTTTTTAAAAATTTAAATAATATATTTCACATTTCAATAACATGAATTTTAGGTAAATGTTAAATCATCATCATAATGCAAACAATCTTTATGGTCGTATGAACAGGTTTAATTGTGTTTTACCGTCGGTGACTCCGCTGACGTGATAACTGAATCCTCCGAAACTGAATTCACCGGTGTATTTTTTGGGCAAACAGGAGCTTTGGAAAACTTTCTTCACACACACACACACAGACAGACACACACACACACACAGACAGACACACACACACACACAGACAGACACACACACACACACAGACAGACACACACACACACACAGACAGACACACACACACACACAGACAGACACACACACACACACAGACAGACACACACACACACACAGACAGACACACAAACACACACACACAGACAGACACACAAACACACACACACACAGACAGACAGACACACACACACACAGACACACACACACAGATGAAGACTGAAGCGGTCGCCGCTCGTATTGAACATCACGTGTGTTGATGTGTGTGTTTAGTACCCTCTGAACCCAGCGCTCCCAGAGCCGACAGACGCGCCGCTTTGATTCCGTTTCCAAGGTAACTGTGAAGAAGAGCACATGTTTAGAGCGGGAAACACCACATTCCTGCAGCATCATCATCATCATCATGGTTACCTGTGTGTGTAGAGCTCATAAGTGCTGCTGAACATGTCGAACCTCACCATGTAATCCGCTGGAGCGCTCTCAACCGTTTTCTGTCAAATACAACAAACTTACCACAGTACTGTGTGGTTGCTAAGGTGCTCTGAGTGGTTGCTAGGTGGCCCAAAACACTAGTTTCTAGTAACAAATGTAAACATACAATACCCGAGTATTAAATATTTGCAAAGGAAGTCTCTTCTGCTCACCGAGGCTGCATTCATTTGACTACAATTTAAAACAGCTGTTTTCTATGTGAATATCTGTTAAACTGTAATGTATTTCTGTGATCAAAGCTGTATTTTCAGCATC